TTTATTTACTTTGCTCGTCAGTAGAATCCTTTTTCAATTTTCTATCAAGATATTTGACTTGCTTGTAAGTAGAGTTTATTTTCCTTTCCTATATCTCTATGTTTATTTTGCTCGTCAGTAGAGTCCTTTTCTAATTTTATCTTTCGATGTTCAATTTGCTCACCACTAGATTTCCTTTAATTTTTCAACGAGATATTTAATTGGCTCGTCAGTAGAGTCATATTTTCATATTATAGATCAATTTTTAATTTGTTTGTAAATTAAACTTTTTCTGATTATCCATTTCTATTTTTAATTTGCTTGACAGTACAGTTCCTTCGTGCATTATTCTATCTAGATTTTTATTTTGCTCGTCAGTAGAGTCCTTTTTAATATTCTAGTCTAGATCGACATTTAAGTTGTTGACTTATTTTTTCAAGAGTGTAAAGTCCTATTTTGTCTTCTAGAGAGAAATCAAATCATTTGCTTGTCAGTAGAGTCCTTTTATCGTTTTTTTTTTGTTTTTTATATCTAAATATTTAATTTGCTCGTCAGTAGATTCCCTTTTCTATTTTTCTGTCTAAATATTTACTTGCCTCATTTTCTAGAGTCTTGTTCTCATTTTCTATATACATATTTCACTTTCCTCGCCAGTTGAGTCCTTTTTTATATTACAGATAAATATTTTACTTTCCTCGTCAGTAGAGTTCCTCTTTAATTTTTCAGTTGGCAAATTTAGTTTACTCGTCAGTAGAGTCCTATTCTACTTTCCTATCTAGATTTTTAATTTGGTCGTCAGTAGAGTCCTTTTTGCATCTTCTAGTTCGCAATTATGTTGCTCGTCAGTAGAGTCCCCATTTCTAGCTATTTAATTTGCCCTTTAATAGAGTAAAGTCTTTTTTATATTGCAGATCAAAAAATCGATATATTATTATTTGCTCATCGGTAGAGTTCTTTTTATCATATTGTAATATATAATTTACTTGTCAGTAGAATCTTTTTCTGATTATCCATTTCTATTTTTAATTTGCTCATCAGTAGAATCCCCTTTTCATCTACTAGTTTATAATTTTATTTACTCGTCAGTAAAGTCTATTTTTCATCTCCAAGTACAAATTAAGTTTGCTCGTTAGTAGAGTCCCTTTTCTAATTTGTTATCTTAATATTTAATTTGCTCGTAAGTAGAGTCTCATTTTTATTCTTCTATCTGATATTTAATTCGCTCGTCGGTAGAGTCCCTTTTCTAATTTTCTATATCAAATTTAAATTTACAATTTACATACTAAAATTCCTTTTTTAATCTTTTGTCTAGATATTTAGTTTGCTCATCAGTAGAGTTTTTAATTCATCTTTTAGTGGGATATTTAATTTGCTCGTTAGTAAAGTCCCTTTTAATATTTTTTATCTAGATATTTAATTTGTTCGTCAGTAGAGTCCTTTTCTAATTTTCCAGATTAAAAATAAGTTTGCTCATCAGTTAAGTTCCTTTTTAACTTCCCGTAGGGTAAGTTATTGTAATGGGCCGAAAATCGGAATTGAAAATTTTTACATTTCTCGACGTTTTGAAGGTTTCTGAACGTTTTGGCATACCTCAGAAAAAATGGATGTGTGTGTGTGTGTGTGTGTGTGTGTGTGTGTGTGTGTGTGTGTATGTATGTGTGGATACAAATTTCCAGTCACGTTTTAGGGCGCACGGATCAACCGATTTGAATGGTTCAAAAAACATTCGATTCCTATTGATTGGGAAAAGAGCTGATTAGTTTTTGGCTAAGGCAGGTCCAGCCGTTTCGGAGATACGGAGCAAAGAGTGCAAAAAATAGAAATCGAATTTTTGAGCGAACGGAGTATCCGATTTGAATGATCTAAAAAACATTCAATTAGTAATGATTGGGAGAAGTGTTTATTAGTTTTTGGCAAAGGCAGGCCCAGCCATTTCGAAGATTCGGAGCTAAATATGTAAAAATGGCAGTTTTTGAGAGAACTAAGCGTCCGATTTAAATGATTCAAAGAACTCTCTGCTTGTCTTAACAAAATAATTGATTTTGGAAAAAAAATTTTGTTCCAATTTTTTTTTTTTTTTTTTTTTTGTAGTATTTTGTATATCGAAAATATTTCAGATTTTATTTTTAATTCTGACTATAGTTCTAATATACTTTAGAAATAATTTCAACTCTGCAATTCGGTTTATATAATTCTTATAAATATTAGACAATGTTACTATATTTATAATAATCTATTTGAAAACATTCAATATTCCTCGATCATTTCGTTACGGTGCGGGAAGTTCCAGCAATTTGCCTCAAGGCACGATGCCATAATTGCCTCAAAACAGAATTCCACTTACAGCTAGTTAATGTTATATTTGGCTATTTAATCTGCTCGTCGGTAGAGTCCCTTTCCTGTTGTTACATGACATTTTCTGTACAATCTTTTTTTTTAAATTTTAAATCAATCTGTAAAATTAAGAAGGGGATTCTACTGGCGAACAAATTTTAATTTTTATCTAGCAATTCAAAGAAAGAACTCTACTGACGTGCAAACTTTAATTTTGATCTAGAATATTAAAAAAGGGACTACTGGCAAGCAAATTTCTAATCAAGAACATAAAATGGACTCTACTGACAATCTAATTTGATTTTGATGTAGGAAATTGAGAAAGGGACTCTACTGACGAGCAAACTTTTCTCTGATCTAGAAATTAAAAAAGGGACTCTACTGACGAGCAAACTTCATTCCGATCCAAAAAATAAAAAAGGACTCTACTGACGAGCAAACTTTAATTTTGATCTAGAAATTAAAAAAGGGACTCTACCTACGAGCCAATTTATTTTGATCTAAAATATCGAAAAAGGGACTCTACTGACGAGCAAATTAATTAAAAAAAAACTACAAAATGAAAAGACTACTAGGAGCAAATTTAAATACAATATGAAATGAGATGACTCTACTGATGAGCAAACTTCACTCTGATCTAGAAAATTAATACTGACAAGCAAATTAAATATAAATCAAATTAAATTGCAAACTAATATATGGAAAAAGGGATTCTACTGACAAGCAAATTGTAAAGCCACTAACATACTTATTATTATTATAATTATTATTGGATTTCTGTCTTATCAATTTAGAATAGTAAAAGGGACTCTACTGACTAGCAAACCGAAACTTAAATGAGAGATGTAAAAGATTAAGAAAGAACTCTACTGACTAACAAATTAAATATCGATGTAAAAGATTAAGTAAAAGAACTCTACTGACAAAGAAACTAAATATCGATGTAAAAGTTTAAGTAAAAGGACTCTACTGACAAAGAAACTAAATATCGATGTAAAAGTTTAAGTAAAAGGACTCTACTGACAAGCAAACTAAATATCGATGTAAAAGAGATTAAAAACTTACTTAATACGTTAATCTTTCTGATAGATATTTAAATCTTCATATTTTCTTATGTTTAAGATAATTTTGCACGTTAGTAGAGTCCTATTTTTTCTAATTTACGTACATTATAAAATTGACTTTTAGAAAAACGTTCTTACAACAGAGTGTATTAGATGTAACATCTTGTTACGTACATTTTACGTCTCTGTTACATAGACGTTTAAAATGGTTTAGATCTTGGATATCTTTGAAACCACATTTGACTTTCCTCTGAGCAAATATATTTCGAATCATCTTTTATTCAATTTATTTCATTTATATTAAATAATATAATAATAATAATAAATATATTTTGTTTTATTTATTATTATCTGTCACTTATTTTTTTTCTAGTATTATTTTATTATTCAAAAATTTTATTTATTTTATTGATTAATTTTATTTTTATTATTATTTGCTTTTATTTTATATTAAATCATCATACAACGGATATCATTTTGATGTAAATTCTATTCTTTGCACTCTTATTTATTTAAATTTATGTTATTATTTATTATTGTTGCTAGATGTTAAATTATTTAACAGTTGTAATAAATATTGTAATTAAAAAAAAATTAAATAATATTATTAATAATGTAATA